ATACTTAAATGTGTAGCAGGATCAGATACCATAAGGGTTCATTTCATTTCTTTAGCTATTGATGCAACTTTTTAAAAGTCTCATCTTACACTAACAAAAACATTTTTGTGCTTCCCTGCTTTCGTAGCCTGCTTCTTCCTATCTGTGAATCGTTGTGCTGCACTTTTATAGCCGCACCCACCTCCCCAATCCCACTCTCAACCCTAACCCCTGGCAACCACCAATTTGTTCTTCAATTCTATGATTCTGTCATTTCAAGAATGTTATACAAATGGAATCTTACTACATGTAACCTTTTGAGACTGGCTTTTTTCACTCAGCATAATTCCCTCAAGATCCAACCAAATTGTGTGTATCAACGACTATCGTTCATTCCTTTTTCTTGCTGAGTAGGATCCCTTGGTGCGGATATACCCCAGTGTGGATGTACCCGTGGTGTGTTTAACCACTTACCCACTGAGGGACATTTGGGTTGTTCCCAGTTTTTGGCTATTACCAGTAAAGCCACTATGAACAATTGTGTACAGGTTTTATGTGAACATACATTTTCATTTGTCTGGGATAAATGACCAAGAGTGCAACCGCTGGGCCGTATGGTAAGCGCATGTTTAATTTTACAAAGAACTGCCAAACTGTTTTCCACAGTGGCTGTTCCATTTTACGTTCACCAGCTCTCTATGAATGATCCTGTTTCTCTGCATTCTTGCCATTTCATGTTATCACTATTTTCTCCTTAGCCATTCTGATAGGTGTGTAGTGATATCACGTTATGGTGTTAGCTTGCATTCCCTGACGGCTAATGATGTTGACCATCTTTTCATGTGTTTATTTACCATCTATATAAACTCTTCGGTAAAATGCCTGTTTGTGTCTTTCACCCATTTTCTAATTGGAGTGTTTGGTTTTTTACTGTGAGTTTTGAGAGTTTTTCATGCATTCTAGATACAAATCTTTTGTCAGATATGTCATGTGTCCTTTAGACATGATCCCAGTTGTCTTCCATAGTTTCCTTGCCTTCTGGTACGACAAGTGCTCAAGGTTCCTCTTGTCGAAGGGAATTTTAAGCTTTTGGAAAGATAGAGAAATGATGCAGAACTATATTATCCTTTCTCATTTGGAAGTTTAGTTATTGAAGAAGACAGGACAGAGACCTACGAGAGAGACTTCTGGTAAGGCCCAGCAAATGCCACTGTAACTCCTTTCTCACCTTAAGTACTTCCTTTATGTTCATTTATTCATTAAAGCTTGCTAAAAAAAAAAAAAAAAAAAAAAGCTTGCTAAGTGCTGTTATCCAAGCTAGGTGCTGGGAATTAACAGGGAGTTTCAATTCAAAGTGACATGTGTGTGTGCTGAGGTTAAGTGCGGGAGGCTTCGTGGGCATTAAGAAGGGCCTCTGACCTGGACGGGTCAGGGAAGGAGGACTTCCAGAGGATGTGATAGCCTGGCTCAGATGGCAGTTAAGGCGGTGGGGGTGGGGGTGGGGATCAGGACTCTAGTTGAGGTAGATGTTTCAGTGAGCATGTTTAAAGACCTCACAGGGAAAGAATGCTGCATTCTTGGGGTGGCCAAGCCATCCTGGGGGTCCTAGACAGCCCCAGCTTTGGAGATCACTGAAAAGAATGTAGGTCAATACCTGAATGTTGCTTAATATTATCTGGGGTAGAAAATAAAGGAGTCAATAGAATTACTAGTTGGCTGCAATCTCCAAGGGTCCTGTAACTTCCATCAGATTCCTCTTATAAAGAATTGAAGACTGGGCATATTGGCTCACACCTGTAATCCCAGCACTTTGGGAGGCCAAGGTGGGAGGATTGCTTGAGCTCAGGAGTTCGAGATCAGCCTGAGCAAGAGTGAGACCCATCTCTACTAAAAATAGAAAAATTAGCCGGGTGTGGTGGTGCACACCTGTAGTCCCAGCAACTTGGGAGGCTGAGGCAGGAGGATCGCTTGAGCCCTGGAGTTTGAGGTTGCTGTGAGCTATGATGATGCCACAGTATTCAGGGCAAAGGAGTGAGACTCTGTCTCAAAAAAAAAAACAGATTTTTAAAAAAAATGTTTAGAAACAGTGTTTACATTCTCTCCCCCAGGTCTCCTTGTGACAATCACCCCCAAAATCTTCAGGTTCTGTCTGGCCATAACAGTGAGATTTGGGCGACACTAGCATCATGTTGGAATCACTGGTTTGAACTAGTCACCATAACTCACCCCGCCAGAGTCCTCTTTATCCCTTTCACATGCAAGACACAAAGGGCCAGCAGAGGAGGAATCGTGGGCCCCGTACCGCCAGAGACAAGGCGTGCAGTCCAAGGAATAGGTTCACCTGTTTATTTCTTGGTGCTTCCAGGAGCTCATGTAAAAGCAGCGCAGTGAAAGAAGCAGCAGTGGTCAGTAAATGGAGATATCGCTTAGTATGTTTCAACAGGCTCAGTTTGGCTTTGGTGGGACAAGCTGCCAAGGGCCAAGAGAGAGCAGAGTGAAGCCAGGTCCCTGAGGAAGTGAGGGGTCCAAATGTGGGGCATGGGTTGTGAGTGGTGGACTTCAGATCCAGATGTCAGAGGTGCAGTCACCCCCAGGGTAGCGGAGCTCGTGGGCCAGGGCTGGACCCAGGGGCTCCTTCCCAAAGTCCACCAGGAAGTTGGGGTTCAGCTTCAGCCCCCCATTTACTGTGTCTACATCGATCTGCAGCATCACGGAGCCTTCCCTGGTGGAAAAGGAGAAATGGGTAAAGGAGAGGTCAGTGGTGGCCACCCCCTTCCCTCAAGATGTCATGAGTAGGTGGTGGGTTCCCAAGGAAGGAAAGGGGTTTGAAGGGGCCATCTGTACGGTGAGGTGCAGGTGGGGTCCCTGAGGAGTCTTCAGAAAGCCAAATACCCCTCTGGGAGAGGAGGGCTGGGAAGGCGAGCCTAGGCAGTCCACCTCTCACCTGATGAGATCGGGGTAGAACTGTTTGTCCCAGGCACTGTACAGCGATGTGGTGACATAGACACGCTTCCCGTCCAGGCTAAGCTGGATCATCTGAGGGCCTCCAGCCACACATTTCCCCTTGAGAAGAGCAGGGGTCAGACCCCAGGGTGACACACTGATCCTAGGAGGGGGTCCCAGGTACCACCCCAACCCCTAGAGCCTGCTTAGATGCTGCCCCCATATTCCTCAACTCCGGGTCTGAGGGGTGCCTGGAGTAGGGGGAGAGGCCCTTACCTTGACCACCAAGGGTTCTGGCTGGGATTTTAGTTCCTGGTCCTCCAGCACTTGCACAGGGCCTCCCTTAACAATGCTGCCCCCGAGGAAGATCTGGCGGGGAGGGGCAGAGGACAAAGGAGGACAAGGTGGGAGGTGTGGAAGTCAGAGCAGCCTGCCTTGGGATCCCTTCCCCCATCCAGACACCTTCCCCAAGCCTGGCCTGGGCCCCGCAGTCCTGGGCCTGCACTGTCCCTCTGCCCATTTTTTGCTTTTCCTGCACCTTCTCTGTCATCCCCCAGGTAGATCATACCCTCTTTCCCACCCCCAGACTCTTCTCTTTCCTTCCTCCCTGACTTCGGCTCCCACCTGTCCAGTGAGGCGGGGCCTCTGCGGGTCCGACACGTCATACTGACGCACGTCTCCATGCAGCCAGTTGCTGAAGTAGAGGAAGCGGTCATCCAGGGACAGCAGGATGTCAGTGATCAGGCCTGGGGTGGGGGGTGCGACAGGGGTCAGAGCCTTTAAGGACTTTCGTTTCTCAGGCCGGGAACCAATCTTCTGCTTCCCCGGGCACTCACCTGGCATCTCAGGCAGCACCCAGCCCTTCACTTTCTTGGGGGGCACCTGGATCACCTTCTCCACTGACCAAGTACCTCCCTACATTGGGAGAACGGGCAGGGTGAAGATAGGAGGCAGAGAGGTGAGCTTCTCAGAACTGGGGGTGGGGGTCAGATCGGGTCTTCTTGCCAGCGGGGTTGAACTCCATGCAGGCCCCTTAAGGCAGGGATGGTGCCTGCTTCACCCCTGCATTCCCAGCACACAGCACAGTACCCAAAGCAGAAAGCTCCTAAGTAGGTTTTGGATGAGTGAATAAACACGGCCATTTAGGGTTCAGGTGGAAATTGGCCTAGCACTGAGAGAAGAGAGGCAGAGCACGTGGCCTCGTGTTTTTGTTGCTGGAGAAGCCTGGGCTAGTGGGGCCCGGGCAGGAGTGCTGACACGACTGCTGGGAGCAGAGGGCCAGAGGACACAGGTCACCTGGTTCTTGTAGAAGCGCTGGATGTTGGAGCTGAGGGCACAGCCCACGAAGCCCTGGGCCGCGTCCGGGTTGTGCAGGAAGCGGGTCTCCAGCGGAATAAGCCCGTCCTTCAGAGGCAGGGTCTGCACGATCTCACGGCGCTGCCAGTCCCACACATGTAACTGGCTCCCGTACAGCCCTGGGGGTGGGTGGGGCCAGAGGACGGGCTCAGGATCAGGGCAGGAAGGCAGGGGCAAGGGCTGGGGCAGGAGGCTGAAAAACGGGTGGGAGGGATCAGAAGGGCGCGTGGGCAAGTCTGAGCGTGCAGCACGTCCTATACCATCACCCTGAGTCCGAGGCCACATGAGGGAAGTGAGGGAGCTGGAGGTTTGGAGTGGGGTCTCAGAGCAGAAAGAAGGGGGTGTGGGCCCAAGCTTCCTGCCCACGCATGGGGGGATTCTCACCCGCCTCCACGTCAGCGGGGTTGAAGCCATCTTGAAAGACATTGGGAGCTGCCCATTCGGTGCTGATCATGACGTTGTGTCGAGGCTGGTACCAGAAGTCGTAGCCCATCGGCGCAGCACCCCCAGGCTGCTCCCACGTCCCCTTCACCTCAAATGTCTCCCCATCCAGCAACACGAAACCCCCTGAGCAGGGAAGGAAGTGGGGGGCAGGTAGAGATAGTGGAGACACAACCCCACCCAGCCCTCACCCCGGGATGTCCAGGAGCCTCTCAGCCGGTTGCCTGCCCCTTCCCGCCACTGGGTTTAAATTCCTTAAATTCAGGTGTCTATCGGGTCCCACCCAGAGGGCCAGGTGGGAGGTGGGGGCTTTTATTCTAGTGCCCCATCTCCCATCAACCTCATCCCTCTGCCAGACCACAGGGGAAATTTTTCTCTCCTTGAGCCAAGAGATCTGGGACTCAGCACCCCTGCCCAGCCTCCCCCTTCTGGAGTGGGAGTCTTCCCGTAGTCTAAGCTCCATTCTGCTTGCTACATTTTTTTAATAGGATAGTGAAATATATTTATTTGTAATTCAACTCAAACGCCCAATACGTTGCTCCCTTGCTGAGTGTGTTATGACAACTTGCTACATCCTTGTAAAATACAACCAGATGTCTACTCTGTTATGAAGTCTAGGAATGTCACACTCCTCCCGTCTCCTGGACAAAGCAGTCATATGGAGTCTAGCGCAGTAACCCAAGCTGGATGACCTTAGCTGAGGGCCTGCTGCAGGCCCTTGGAGGGAGGGTTCTGATGAAATAGATGAGGCTCTGAAAGAAGCAGGACGTAGACTCTGGCTGCAGATTGCTGGGTTTGAGTTCCAGCTCTGCGACTTATTAGCTGTGTGACCTTGGGTAAGTTATTTAACCAGTCTGTGCCCCAGCTTTCTTATCTGCAAAACAGGGGTTATACTAGCACACAGTAGACATGTTATAAGTGTCAGCTCTGATCATACTGTAATGAGTTAGCAAATGTGGAGATTAAGGATCTCAAGGATTGTGAGATATGCTCATAAATCACAAAGGCTGATATTAAATGTATGTGTTTTCTGGGGCCATGTCTGTACTAACATTACCCATGGCTGACTGTTCTGACTATAACTTTTAACCGAATTAATCAGTCAAGGCTCATCTCCATAGAAATAATCAAAACAACTGAAGTTACTTGCTAACATTTTAAGTATTGGACAGGACCCAGGCTGTTAGTTTTCCCTGGGAGGTCATTCTATTCCTCCCCCAGCTTGTGGTCTGCTCCTCCTGCAGACAGATGCTTCCCTCCTTTCATAGCTGTGGACATTTTCACAAGCACACAGGGCCGCGGGTACCTTTGCCATTGCCCTTGGGGTCTCCCAGGGAGCTGATCATCACCTCCCCACTGGCCAGGCAGTGGGTGGTGTGGAGGTAGGCCAGTCCGCACTTGGCGTGGATGTCCTTGGGCTCGATGACCTGGGCAGGGGTGGGGAACAGCATAAGAATCTTACAGGGCTGCGAGTCCGCACCCTTCACCCCCATTCTCCCCTACTTCCATCTGCCAAGCCTGTCTTCTTTTCCTTCAAAACGTGGACACAACTCTCCCTATGAGGATATGGCAGAGATTCAGTCCGGTAACTTCGGCAGAGCACCAAGGGAAAGTCTGAGACTGTTAATAACTCCGCAGGCAGGAAGCACTGACTTCTCCCTCTGTCCTGAAGGCATTCACAACCCTGGGAGACCATAAGCTCCTTCTGGGCTGGGCTGATGCCAGTGTCAACTTTGTATCAACAGCAGCCAACAGTGAGTGCCTGGTCCAAGAGGGTACTGAACAAAGTGTTGAGCGGAAGGACCGGAGACTCCTGCCTAAGAGAAGTCCTGAGCTCCCAACTGGGTGGGAAAAAATGGCTCCCTCCCTCTCCCGCAGCGAAATAGGAAGCCGCCTCCCTCTTCTCCCTTTTCTCACCATCCTGGCCCATGGTGCTGGATGGTGACAACCCAGTAAGCCCAGGTAACCCTCCTGTGAGGTCTAAGTTCCCTCCCCGTTGCTGAACAAGATTCTGTGCAAGAGCTGGAGGCAGTTGCTTTAGGGCTGGCTTCCTGCCTATAGGCTGCCGAGGGCCGTAGGTGCATCAGGGTCTCTGAGCTGCCAAGGGCAGAGGACGTGCCTTGTGTAGCTTTGGTGCCCGGGGCTCTGAGCCCACATCTACCACGTAGATGCGGGAGGAGATGAGACCGGGCAGCACCAGCTTGGTGCGCGACTTGGTGCTGTCACCGAAGCAGCTGCTGCAGGTGTTCCATCCTGAGTGATGCAGCTCGTCCTTCAGGTTGGGCATGGGCAGCCGGTGGATAACCTAGGATGGGGACACACGGGGTGGTGCTCGCCCAGGCCATGCCTGTCTGCTTTTGGAAGAGGCGCCCCTTGTCCCCCAACCCGTTTGATTTGACAGTGTAGCACAGGCTGGATTTCAGCAGTCCCCTTGTTCTGGGTGCAGTGAACAGCCTACACAACCATACCCAGGGAGGGCCAAGAAGGATGGAGCTGGGGAAGGGCAGCCCCCCCGCCAGGGCCAGGGCTAGAGGGGTCTCAAGGTAGCTGGTGCCTAAGTCCCACCTCACCTGGCAGTATTGGGGAGACTTGGGGTTAACATCCACGGTGGCCAGGTAATCTGGGGCTTCAGTGCCCGTGTTTCGGTAAATACAGGGCAGGTAGATAATCTCCTCCCGGGGTCCTGGAGGGTAGAAAGTAGGCAGTGGGATTGGCAGGGTGGGAAGCAATGGCAGGTCAGCACTGGGTGTGCCAGAGGGTGGAGGCCAGGTCTGAGGTACCCCCAACCCCACCAGCCCTGGACCCAGGAGAGGGGTGCCGGCTCTCGGACCTTCGGCAATTACCTTTCATGGCCTCCATAGGGCTAGAGTAGCCAGGTCCGCACGTCCCACATTTCGTAGCTGCAGAAACAAGGGGGTAGTTTGGCTGGACTTTGCTCTGAAGGGTGAGGGCTCCCTCCCTACGTCCTGCAGCACTTGCCCTGGCAGGCCAGGCAGGTCCCCTCTTCAGCCCCATCACTCTGGCCCCCTCTGAACCCAGGGGAATGTGAGGCCGTGGCAGGAAGAGCTGGAGAGACAGGAGCTGCAGTGACAGACACTCTGGCAGGGCCCAGGGGAGGGCGGGAGGAGGGCAAGTGCAGCCCAGGCTGGGTGGTGCAGTGGTCATGACACCGACTTGGGTCCTGACTTCAGCCCACCACGGACTAGCTGTGGGAACCTGGGCAAAGTACTCAAGCCGTCCCCTACCCCGGCCTCAATTTCTGCATCCTCTGTAAAAAGAGGACAGGAAGAATACCACAATGGCCTTTATGAGACACAGGCAAGAGGGGCTGTGAAGTGTGCAGCATCGCGCTAGCTTGGTAGAAGCCCCGTGAGCCCGGGCTGCTCTCGGGACAGCTCTTAGGGAGTGGCAGTGGGGCCTGCTCAGCTCCCTTACCAGACTGTCTAGACTGGGGGCTGGGATACTTCTTGTTTCTCTCTTCCCTGGGCCTTGATCCCAGGCTGCCAGCCAGGGCTGGCTGGATGTCCTTAGGCCAGTTTCTACCTCTGGACGGGCCCCGCTTCCTTTATCTATAAAGTAAGAGTTGGGCCCAACTCTGGAAAGCTCAGAGGCCCCCCGAACCAAGATGTAGAGGGTGGCCCTCCCTGTCCCTGAAATCTGGCAAGAAAGGTCACACTAATCCACAGGGCCAAAGTCAGCGCTGTGAAGGAGGGCTGGGACATCACAGCTGTCAGGACCCCAGCGTCAGAGTTTGGGGCCTGCTGGGGGAAAGACTGAAGAATAGCCCAGAGGGAGCCGCAGGCTGAACGGAATCCTGGCGTGGAGTTCACAGGCCTGGGCACTGCCCCTGCCCTGTCCCACGCTGGTCTGGCCAGGGCTGGGCCTGCAAGTGGGGAGCCAGGAGTAGCCAGAGTGGAGCCTCCACTGTTGCCTGACCCCCAGTTGTAGCAGCCAAGTGACTTAGGAAGCTGAGAGGCAACGACGGCATTTGAGAATCTGGAAAACTGGTTTCAAGTTCTAGGTTGGACGCTCTCCATTTTCTCCCCTTCATTTGCTAAACGGAGGTAATAGTAACATCCTACCTATTTCTCTAGGTAGATGTGAAAGTCAAACAAGATAACATATTCAAAAGTACTTTCACAAAAGTGTTGCATAAATATGGGGCAGATAAAACAAGGTATTCTTTTTTTTTTTTTTTTGAGACAGAGTCTCATTCTGTTGCCCGGGCTAGAGTGCCGTGGCGTCAGCCTAGCTCACAGCAACCTCAGACTCCTGGGCTCAAGCAACCCTCCTGCCTCAGCCTCCCGAGTAGCTGGGACTATAGGCATGTGCCACCATGCCCGGCTAATTTTTTTTTATATATATATATTTTTAGTTGTCTAGATCATTTCTTTCTATTTTTTAGTAGAGACGGGGGTCTCGCTCTTGCTCAGGCTGGTCTCGAACTCCTGACCTTGAGCGATCCATCTGCCTCGGCCTCCCAGAGAGCTAGGATTACAGGCGTGAGCCACCGTGCTTGGCCAAAACAATGTATTCTAAAACGCTTTCATCAAGGTGAAGTGTTGCATAAATATGGTAAGGCTGTGCCAGAGGAGGGAAGAATGCCAGGCTGTGCTTGGTGCCCTAAGAGAGGGCTGGCGTGGGGGCAGGGTGAGAGAGGCCCAGTCCAAAGGAATTAAGGAGACTCGTTCTGCTACACAACCTAGCTGTGTAGGGCTTGGCACAGATGCCAAGGGGTGGGGAAGGAAGTTGCTGGACACAGAAGGGGAAGGAGAGTAAAAAACTCCAAGACATTGAGACAGAGATACAAGCACCACGAAGCCGCAGAGAGACGGAGAGAGAGATACAGGTGGAAGGAGATGTTGCCCAGTCCACGGCATCTACCGTCCCAGCTCCCCCGACCCCGCATTTCTTAGGGTCGGGAGCTGCCTGCCACTCTGTCCCAGGGAGCATCATTGCTCTTTCTGGGAAATACCCGCCTGTCTTAAGCATCTCAAGCAAGGTCCCTGAGCTTCTGTGGGTTTGAGCTGAAACCAGGGAAATCTCAATTGTTTCTTTTTTCTTTTTTTTGAGACTGGGTCTCGCCATGTTGCCCAGGCTGGTCACAAACTCCTGGGTGAAAGGGGCGGCTTTGCTGAAATAACAGGAAAATATCTAACCCCCCAATTTTCTAATAACAGTTAAAGATCAATCTTGAGCTCCCCCACTCTTTCTCTCCCTAGCTGGGAGACATCCTGCAGGGTTCCATTTTCACAGACACCAGCAAGGAGCCCAACAGACAGAAAGGAGACGGAAACCTTTCTCTTCACATTCCCCTGCTCTGTAGCCTCCAGGAGATCCTGAGAAGCCCCAGGACGGACAGCAGGGGAGCAACTCCAGGCTTCAGTTTCCTGCCCCAAACCATATCTCAGGGGCAAAATCACAAGCCCTGGGATAAGCCTCACTACATTTCAGAGATAACCAAGTGTCCAGGAACAGGGAAAACAAGAAAGAGGGACAACCAGACATCTCGCAGCAGCCGCTTCTGTTTCAACTGACGACAGTCACTATTTTTTCCTTTCTCTTTTTCCCCATAAAATCAGCAAGCCACTTGGCCTCAGTGCTGGCACCCTCTTCTTTGTTTTTGGGATGCCACGCCGCCTCCCTGCTCTCCCTCTCTTTCCTCTGTCTCTCTCACACTCTCAATCTCTCTCTTCCTAAGAAGATAAAATAAACTTTTTTTTTTTTTTTTTGAGACAGAGTCTCACTGTGTTGCCTGGGCTAGAGTGCCGTGGCGTCAGCCTAGCTCACAGCAACCTCAGACTCCTGGGCTCAAGCGATCCTCCTGCCTCAGTCTCCCGAGTAGCTGGGACTACAGGCATGCGCCACCATGCCCGGCTAATTTTTTCTATATATTTTTAGTTTTTCCAATTAATTTCTTTCTATTTTTAGTAGAGACGGGGTCTCGCTCTTGCTCAGGCTGGTTTCGAACTCCTGAGCTCAAACAATCCTCCCGCCTCAGCCTCCCAGAGTGCTAGGATTACAGGCGTGAGCCACCGCGCCCGGCCAAAACAAACTTTTTAACTTTTATATATCTTCATCTCTGCACGAGAAATCTTTCTCCACCCACACCGTGAGCACCTACTAGGCTGTCCGCCCTGACACTGGGGTCAAGTGATCTTCCCAGTAGCTGTGACTACAGGTGTGTGCCACTGTGCCCAGCTTCGACTGAGTTTTCCAGGCCAGGCTGGCTGCTGGGCATTCTGCCAGCCCAGGGAAGAGCCAGCTCCAAGGGAGCAGGGACCTCAACACTCCCAACCCAACCCAGACTCCTTCTCGGCCTGCTCAAACTCCTCCTGGAGCTTACTCCAGGAGCTCACAGGTGGAGAGGTAGGAGGACTGGAGACTTGAGGGGCGGGGGCACTGAAACAGGTCCCCAGTGAGAGAGTGGAGGTCCCCGATTTCCCTCCCAAAGAGACTGGTTATGTGGGGTAGCTAGGGAGCGACCCGGGTCCTGGAGGCTCAGGTTCCCTACTCCCCGCTGTAAGAAATCAGGGTTGTCTCTCTCCTGCAGTCAGGGCCAGGGATGTAGAGGCATCTTCTAAGAATCCCCCACCTGATTTTCTCAGCTGCAGAAGGGCGCCCAGGCCCCACCCCCTGCTGGATGGAGCTGTGTGGGAGCGTAGCACCGCCAGGACCACCCTTCCCAGCAGTCCCTCCGCCCTCCTTCCTCAGAAACTTTGGCTAAGATGGGAAATGCGGTGGGGGGGGGAGGAGTGTGCAGGGTAGGGACAATGATGCAGAGTCCACCACCCCCTCCCCTAGCTGCCCCTCGGGGTTGTCTGTCCTTTCCCAGAAGGAGGGCCCTCCGAATGTGTGGTGGGCAATGTGCCGGCAAGCCCCCTCCTTACCCATGCTGCTGGCTGGTATACTCTGGTCCGGATGGGTTTGCTAGGAGCAGGGAGAGGGGCTGAGAGAGCTGTGCTGGTATCAGAACAGCTATGCTGGGGAAGGGTTAAAGGGAGGGAATTTATACAACCAATTGGGCGTGAGGCGGGGCAGGGGGAGGGCCTGGGCTGCAGCCCAGGGCAAACTACTTGGGGCAGCTGGCCAGGAGGCTCTCAAGGGCCCTGTACGGCTGGTGTTTGAATTATGGGGTATGCGTGTGTATGTGTGTGTGTGCGTGCAAGCCTGTGCTCTTTAGTGGGTGCCTGGGTATGCACGGGGCTGTCTGGGTATGTGCACGGTCCTGTATACCTATATGTTACCCATGCATGTGCCTTTATGTGTGTGCCTGTAGGAGTGTGTACCTGTGCCTGTGCACAAGTTTGTACCTGTGTGAGTGTGCCTGTGAGCGTGCTCATGTGCTTGTGTGTGTGTGTGTGTGCCTATGTCTGGAATTGTGTACGTTTGCGTGTGCCTATGTGAACATGTGCCTGCCAGAGTATTTACACCTGTGCTGCATGTGCGTGTGTGCCTGTGTTTGTGCGGTGTGCGCCTGTGCGGGTGAGCGCGTGTTTGTGTAGGCACGTGCATGCACCCGTTCTGGGCCTCCACATACTCATCGATGTCTCTGGACCTGTCTCTTGGCATTTAAAGGTACACAGGGCTGTGGGCCCATCTTTTCCTACCTCCACAGCCAGGGTCAGCTTTCCCCTAAGATTGTTCTCTTATTCCAGACGCCCTTGCTCCAAAAGGCACAGTCCTACTCACCCAAGGACTCCTCACCCGTGTCTTCCTGCCACAGCCGCCCTGGGACAGCCAGGTTGAATAGTGTGTCCAGACGCCACTTTTCCCGGCTTCGTTCCTTCCCCTCGAGCTGTGAAGTGGAAGGGACATCGGCGGCGCCCGTTATTGCTCTCCATCACCCTCCTAAGCCTCAGGAGGTGAAAGTGGAGGGCCTCCGCCTCATCTCCCAGCCTGTATCTCAACAGCTCCTAGCGGGGCAGGGCCCAGAGCAGCCCAACATGCTGCTGGCCTGTGATAAGTCATAAAACTCTCAGGGTCTCTATCTACTGGGAGGGAATCCTCCAGCTGCAGGATTCGATGACTCTCCAGGGCTTCTGAGCCTGCTAATATAACATCCCCGGGACACACCATGGCCTCCAGGTAAATGCTAACTGCTTGCTGAAGAGCTTGAAGCAGGGTTATTCAAAGCAGGGCTGGGTTTTGATCCCATTAACTCCCCCTGGAACTGCCCTTGCTCTGAGAAGCCACTGCGAAGCCAGTATTTAAAGGGCCGGATAAGTGAGAGGTCAGAGAGACCCACCCAAGTTTGTCTCATTTTAAAGACAAGGGTCCCCCTCTTTCCTCACATTTGACTTTTTGCCTAGAGAAACTCCTTCCCTGCTCTTCTAGGAACCTGCTGACTGTGTCTGCAGGAGCCATTTTCATCTCCTTGGATGAAGTTTTTATTGGCCAGGAAAAAAGATGAAGTTTGGGCTTGAGATTGCCAGTGGAAAGAGCTACGAGGTTTCCAAACCAGAGTGGAGGGAAGGGGAGCAGAACTGGGCCCTGGTGCAAAGGGTATCTGTCCTCCTGGTTCCCATCAGCGAGGGGATCACGTGTCCATCAAGGAAGACCTTCTGTGGCTGCCAGGGCAGGAATCTTCTTTTATTCCCAATGTCACTCAACCCTCTTGGCTCTGTCCTGTGTCTGTCATTCTCATCATTGCACCACCAACCCGCCAGGCATCAGAGTAATCCTTCCCGAAGGCTGCCACCTTGCCTTTGCCAGCTGCTTTGTGCCCTGGCTACCTCCACTCACCCTCCTGCCTCCACGCTCCTGTCCTCCTGAGGTCTCCATCTCCAACCTCCTTTCTACTCCCCTGCTTTTTGGCTTGAGGTAGCCCACCATCCAAAGAAACTCTCCCCCTCTTATCAAAAGTTCTTGGCCTGGTGCAGTGGCTCACACCAGCAATCCTAGCACTTCGGGAGACCGAGGCAGGAGGATTGCTTGAGGAGCAGGAGTTTGAGACCAGCCTGAGCAAGAGTGAGACCTGTTTCTACAAAAAAATAGAAAAATTAGCTGGGCGTGGTGGCTTGGCCTGTAGGCAAGAGGATGCTTGAACCCAGGAGACTGAGGCTGCAGTGAGCTATGATGACACCACTGCACTCCAGCCTAGGCAACAGAGCGAAATCCTTTTTCAAAAAAAAAAAGTTCTTGAGTCATTAACTCCGAAAAATCTGTTATTGTGTTTGTTCTAGAGTCTGTAGTCGACTATAGTTTTTTCATATCCCTGTACTCTAACCTGGCTGGTCTCTGTGGCTCCTCCAAGGCACCCCCAACCTCTGCCTGCAGCTTTCTGCCTGAACCCTGCTCTACAGCCAACGAGGTGGTTGGGGAAAGTTGTCCCAGTCTGGGCTGCAGATAGAGGTGGTCCAGGGAGAGGGGTCAGGTTGATAACAGAGAAGCGCCCCATGGTACCTTTGCTTCTTCTGAACGGACAAAACCTGGGCTTCCACAATAGGTGGGGAGAATTGCACCCCAATCAGCATCATTATTTCCTAAGCACTCCTGATTTTGCCTTTTAGGAGCTTAAGGGCTCCCTCCTCTGTTTGATCTGCCATCTCCAGCTGGGGGCCAACCAAAGCTTCACAGCAAGGGATGCTGGCTGGGGACAGCCCAGCTTCCTGCCCCTCATCTGAGCTCTGGGCAGATCCCTGGCAGAGGGTTGGACTTAGCTCCATGCCTGCTAACCTTGGAAGGGAGGGCACTACCACCACGCTGGGCACCCTCACCCCAAGGAGGCTGCGTGGGAAGGCTGGGGCAGGTGGGGTGGATGTTCATTTCTGTTGTTTCAAGCCCAGAACTGCATAATACTGCAGGAGGTAGATTATTGAGTTGACAGTTGGAAAGTCAGGCGATTATGTAACTGCTGCTCCCCTGAACTTTGGCCCTGGCCTCCACAAACAGGAAGTGGATTCCAGGCTGGGCCATGGGCCACAGAGGGCGGGGAGGGAAGCCTCTGCTCTTTCCCCTGTTTTTTCTCACCCTTGGCCAGACTGGGTCGCTTTGAGCCTCTTTAAACAGGTCCCAAGACCACTGATGGATGAGATGGGGAAATGAGGAAAGATAGGCTAACCCAGCGAAGAAAAGGGAGGGGAGATGATAAAGTTGGAGTCCCTAAGAATAATTTAATATTAAAATAAAAGACACTTGGTTTTCTAAACCAAAATGAAAGGGAAGCGATAAAAGTCCAATGAGAGGGAGTGACGTTAGGGAAAGACGAGAACTAACACGTATGAACCACTTAGTAGGCATCAGCCCTTGCCCGCACCAGCCCGTTTAACCTTGCGGGCGATACCACCCCCGTTTACCTATGAAGACACTGAGGCTCCGAGAGAGTCACAGATTCCCATCTAGACCCACCGACTCCAGAGCTGTCGCGTTTTCCAGTCACTCCGTGCTGTTTTATGTTTGGGTTTGGTTTGCGGGGAATGGGGAGTGGGAGGCTGAAGAACCAGAAGGCATGTGGAAGGCTGTGGGCTTTTGCTTCTTGGAAGTCCCAGGACAGAAGGACTGTTTCTGGCGTGAAGAAGCAGCTGTCTCCCTAACTGAGCTATGGGGTCTTCATGAGGGAGGTGGGGGAAGACGAGACCCCCTGAGCTGCGGAACAAAGACCGGGAGGGTCTTCACCCCGTGCTAACCATGCTTTCCTTTGGAGAGAGCAATGAAAGGAGGGGGATGATTTTCCATTTTTACTTTATGTTATATACTACTTTTGTATTTTTTAAAATAATAAGTACTAGTTTTGCAACCAAAAGTTCAAATAAAGGTATTAAAAGAAACACTGCAAGGAGAAAGAAAGGAAGGACGGAAGATGAAATACGATGCAGGTGAGGGCCACAGAGAGAGCCTGCACTGGGGAGAAGCACTGGGCCTGGTCCCCCCCGACCCACGCTGTCTGCCATGCATTCATTCATTCACTCATTCATTCTCATATCCCACAAACATTTCCGGAGCACCTGTTTTGAACCAGGTATGGTTGACAAAATGGCGAACAAGGCAAAGTTGCTCTCTTCGTAGAGCTGACTTTCCAGGGAGGGAGCCAATACTCACCAAACATGCCAATAAACAAGATCATGTCAGACAAGTGCTATGAAGGGGGAAGGGTAACGTAAGGGTGACTGAGTGCAACGTTAGGTGGGGTTGCCTGGTACGTACAGGTCCCGAGCTGTGTGCAAACAAACAGCATAAACGAACTAACACAAACCAAAAAACCCCAAATGTGTACAAAATCCCTGTAGCTCATAAATGTAGTAGCCTGCGGAGGCCTGAGGCAGGCCTGGCTGGACAGGTTGAGGTTTTTACCAACGAAGCAGGGTTTCTGGGCCCTGTTCATTTCTCCTCGGATTAACAGACCAACTCCGCACCCTCAGAGGCGTGTAGGAGACGTGGAGGGAGTAGCGTTTACTGAGAACCTGTTACCAGCGGCGGCTGGCGCCAGGCCCGGCCTGCACACTAGCAGTTAGCTCAGGCACTGCTCTCGGCCAACCTGGAGAAGTAGATGGACTTCTTCTTCATCCTGCTTTGAGGAAAGAGAGCTTTCCCAACTCACTAACTGCCATGGTCACCTCACTGTGTCTGAACGACCATGAGTTCAAAGCCTGCTGCTCGGAGTAATAAAATATGGCTCAGAGAAGAGAAATACATTTTTTTTTTAACTGCCCTCTGCCAGGGCTGTCTATAAAGAGCGTGATTTGAGAGGCACTTGGAGGGCTCCCTCCCCCTGCAGATCCACTCAGGAATATCCTCCCTTCTGGCCGAAGCTTGAAGCAGTTTATTTCTTTGTGTTACTGCGGAATGGACTCTTCTCACCTCTGGGCTGCAGGAATTGCCTCTGGGATAGTAACACTTTAAGTTCCCAGCACTGCGGTGCCACTCAGTATTTTTTTTAAATAAACTACAGACCTGGCCGGGCGCGGTGGCTCACGCCTGTAATCCTAGCACTCTGGGAGGCCAAGGCGGGCGGATTG